ACTGCCTGGTGTGCGCCGAGCGCGAGGTGGACGCGGCGCTGGTGCCCTGCGGCCACAACCTCTTCTGCCTGGACTGCGCGTCTCGCCTGTGCGACAGCGAGGCGCAACCCGCCTGCCCCGTGTGTCAGATGCCCGTCGCGCAGGCCATCCGCATCTTCTCCTAAGCGGCTCAGCGCGCCCGGGAGCACGCCGCCGCCCGCGACCACGCCCACGCAGACGCAGAGTGGCGTCGCGTAGCGTCGCGTCGCGTCGCGTGCCGGCCACGGTAACGTTCTCTGTTGTATGATGCGAGGACTTGAACAGTGGTAGTGTGAACTGCTCTTTGTTCTTTTTGCTTCCGGCTTAACCTGATGAGGATGACTGCTATGCGACGTTGGTAGCAAAAGGGATAAAGAACTCCGTTGGAGCTTTGACAGAATGTACCGGTGCCAGCGGGGGATGATATAGTTTAAGAGGAAAAATTTTATACAACGAAAGAATAAATTATTTAAATCTATATTTTATGTTACATATTTTTGTTTGAATGTTTAGTTTTTGAATGTATGGGTGTGATTTCTCTTTCCCCAGGTCCAGTGTTTTTTGGTACATTCTGTGAAAGAAGTCTTACCATTATTCAACATAACTGCATGCCACTTTCCCCACCCTCCCTCAGACAAGTTATGTGTAAAGGGGTGAAATTCATCTAAAATAAAAGAGTGCATAATATATTGATAATATTGATATCACATTTTAAGAGTATTATAAAATATTTTAACGAGATTTAGATTTTTGTATTATGTGTATGTGTGAATGTGTATGTAGATTTAACAGAGTGAAAAATCTTAAAAAAGACAAAATACGTTGACAAAATATGTTAACTAGAAAATATCTCTTCAATGAGATTTTTCTTTTATTTCGTGTATTTTTTTGTGTGCGGGAATTCCAATACAACATGTAGGCAATTCTCATTATTTAAACAATAATAAAAGTTATATAAAATGATATAAAAATACAAGCACTCGGTTGGACAGAGGACAGGAGACACCACTAGCCCGGGCTGTGATTCTCAAAACTGCCATCGGCGGTCCACCGCCTCTGCGGCGAGGCCTCCACTCGAAGCGGTTGATTGACCCGTTCTGTATCCAAAGGGGGGCAGAGATTCTTTATAGACATGCAGACTCGACTATTATTTAATTCTTGATGATTTTATTATATGTTGTTCACCGTTTATATTTGATATAAAGGGGCGGAGGTGGCCGTCAGGGCCTTGCATTCCAGTGCATTTGCCTGCATGTTGAAGTGGCGGGGGGAGGGGGAAGGAGAGGTGAAGGAAACATATCCCTTGTTAGCACTGTTATTTGTTCTGTTGTAATGTGATATAGCCATAAGTTAAGAGTATTAAGAAATTATTTATATAGACGTAATCTCTACGTGTAAGCACTTCAGCCTTGCAATTTGCACAGGTGTTTTTGTAAACATTTGAATTGCTCGACTTATATCTGCATTTCTTTATGCAACGTAGGTCCGTACAAGCCGATGACTGAAAATAAAAACAAACAAAAAAAAGATAATAAATAAATATCCTTATGCTGTCTTCAGAAGCAAATTTAATATTTATTAATAATTGTATATTCTGTTTTCATTGATCTGCTCAATTATTAGATACAAATACCCAACTGGCTCCCCAGTCTGCATTTCAGGTCCGTGCCTGTGCAGTTCAGGGAAAGGCGGTGGGAAGAGTACGTTGATGTACTATCGCTGACATAGTTCTTTCTTAACTTGAAGTGTATTAATAAATGTGTGTAAACTATTGCCACCCTTGTCCTCTGCCGGGCCGAGATGCGATGTGCCTCACAAAAGTTTCAGTATTTGTTTTTTATTATTAATGTTCAACAAATTATTGTATATTATTTTTCATATGTGTGTAGCTGTAAACCGTGTAAGATTTGAATATCAAATGACAAAAAAAGGAGATAAGGAAGTTCACCATAGTAAAAATGTACAAGATCTTTATTTTGTTTTATTATTTCCTATTGTAATTTAAACTTTTTTATTTTTTTACATTTGCCATGATAGTTATTGTAATAATAATGTTGGGTATAAGTAAATTAGTTTGGGGGATGTTATATATTATGTAACTTATGTATTTTGATCATAGCCAGAATTGTATCAGGTCTAAAGGAGAGTAGCAACCTAGTGTGAGCATCTCGATATTGGAGAACATGTCTCTAGTACACATCTTTATTCATAGGCAAAATTGAAAAGATGTGTTCAAATGTATTTATATAAAAACATAAAATACATAATCTATAAGCAGCCTCTCCAATTGATGGCTTAGCATTACATTAGGATTTTGCATTTTTCTAGATACATTTTGACTATAGAAACAATTGCAAATGGTATACTATGGCCAATTCTTTCTCCCCTTGATCAGTTTGCACAAGATTTAAAGGAACATTCAGAGTAGTAGTTTAGTGTTTTTCTATTTTATTATGATCCTATATATATTATACTACTATATATTATATATGATGTAGCTATAAAAAGAGATATTAGTGACACTGGAGAAGTTATTTTTTATGTTAGTCTGCTCAAAAGTGACAGGCCCAGAGTGAACCTTTTCATTTGAGACTGCAATGGCAATCTTGGATTCGATTTGAGTTCTTGAGAAAGCTCTGTTTTGGTCTTCCTGGGAGCACATCAAAGGACTCCCTCTTTTTGCATTTTAATTTTAAAAATTCAGTGTTCAGTTATGAGGTCTTGTAAATCAGGGTTTGTGAGAGCTTTGAGTTGACATGAAATGTTTTTTGAATCTTATTTTATGACAACTTGCTTGTTTTTCATTTTTGTACCTAATAAATGTTTTGTTAACTATTGAAGTATGGTGAGTAAAGTTTGATTCAGGAGTTTGTAGTCCCTCTCCCTTATTAAAATAGAGCTGCTACCTTCAAATTTGAGCATGAAACTAGTTTCATTGCGAATAATTATTGGGCAGGATCTCCACATGCAAATAATTTTGTTTTCTATGCAAAATGCAACTAATGCTTTAAAAAATGTTATGGTTCTAGCAGATTTGTTTAATAATGTATTCTCCTTGTTTGACTGTCAACTAAACGGATCCGAGAAGACTTGACTGTAGAGGATCGTGTTGTGGAGACTTGGCTATACAAAGGAGAACCTTGTAAATGCAACTAGCTTTTGACTGATAAGGTGTCAACATTTAGCATTGTTATCACTCTTAATGTGTAAAAGGTCCAGGCCTAATTATATATAATTAATATATTAAAAAAGAATTTGAAATGTTAATATGGTGTTTTCCAGCTTGGGAGCACAAAATATACATATATAACATTTATTTATAATATAATATAATTAATAAATCTTAGACGTCTGATTTTTGTTAACTTGCTACTGAGTCTGCAGATGATCAAACTGCTGCTCTTCAAAGAAGAAACGAATCAGCAATGTTGTGGCTCTTCAACTGAATAACCAGTACCACGATTTGCCTTGCAAATAATTCATATATGTATGTAGTTATGTATATATATGAAGAAGCACCCTTTTCTAACTGAAAGCAATAATAATATAGTTGACAGCAGCAGTTTGGTCTCTGGCAAGTTAGTATAAAGTTATCAAAGAAGGAAACCTGCTCAGCATTATAATAACATTATGAATATAAACAGAATAATTCTATTTAGTGTGTTTGTTGTGTGTGTGAGTGTGTAGAATGTTTAAAAAACAGTATACTGTAGTGTAGATCTTGTGTTTTGAGAACCTGGACTGAAGATAGTTTAAATTTACCGTTGGATTAATATATGTATTTCTCTATAACAGTTTTGAAATCGTTTTTTTAATATATATACTTAATGTTTCAAGATATTTTGAATTAATGCTGCATGCCAAAAAAAGGTCAAACTAATTTTTAATAGGACTTAGGTTGTTCTGCAATATCCGATAAGGCAGCAGAGGCAGCCAGTATATTGATTCCACTATATTTGTAAGGCTAATTTTTGAAGGGTATTGAGGTTTCCTAAAACCTATACCTTTCTCTCGCAGGGCTGTGTTTTGTTTACTGAGTCAGATAAACCTCATTTTCTTCTTGCACATCTTCATTTTTCCTATAAACTACCTATGTACTCCAAGGCCATGACAATCCAAATTTGGTGGTAATTTTGTGCAAAGTTTCCATTTTTAAAAAAGCAGTAATTAAATTGAAGATATTTAGAGAGATTGCTTTAACAGCCTATATTTCAAATAGAGATGTCTTAGTAGAAAAATAGTATTTTTCATTAAATTGTTGCTTGGGAAGGCGTGGACTTGGACAGTAAGATGTACACTCTTCCTTCATAGGCATTTCTGTAAGTAATTTCAATTTAATATTGTTTTAGTGAAAATGGGCAAATTCTACAGTTTTGGGGTTATGGTCTTACTCGTTTTCAAGTACCAATGCATGATAATAGGATTATTAAGAATTTCAAAAGTTGTGAATTATTAATTATTATACTGGCCATGATGTCTCAGTACCTTCCATTCTTCATGTGTGGTGTTTAGTAGTGCCAGTTCAGATGCCATGTGCTGATTAGATTCAGAGGAGCAGCACTTATCCATATGCAGCTGGGCTTTTATGGGTGATTGTCGTTTTTCTCTTAGCATTGCATATTGTACTTAAAATTTGTGTTTCCCA